GATAGATAGATAGATAGATAGATAGATAGATAGATAGATAGATAGATAGATAGATAGATAGATAGATAGATAGACAGTCAGACAGACAGACAGACAGACAGACAGACACGCAGAACTGTCAAATAAAGGGTCAACTGAATAAATATACTGTAGCTTAAAAATGCTCTTCTGAGAGCAAGCTTAACATTTTCAACTCTCTTCTTTAAAATGCCTGTTGATATTGAAACAAAGTTGCAGCACGGCGCCATTACTAGCACCGATAAAGCAAACCTGTTTTGCCTCACTATGTGTGTGCGTTGCGCGTTATACATCGGTATAGGGTGAATCTTGTGAACGGAATTTCAATGTATTTCGCTGTTAACGATTTCTCACCTTCAGGAGGCTGGAGATATGGAAGGAAAGGCCGCAGAGTCATCAAACATGGAGATCGGGTACAGCATTTTTGAACGCTTATATGATGGACAAAAAAAAAACGTATCTCACGTTTTGCATAATGCTCAATAATTCAGGCGCCACAATTGATCATGATAAATGATAGGCATGTCAGCGCGTGCCTATCATTTATCAAATTGAGACATTCTTTTTTTTCTCTCCCTTTTTCTGTTTTACAATTGTCAGCTATAGAGTATTTGCCCGGTCAGCCACCGAAACAATGGGCGAGCGACACAGATTGCACCTTTTGTGCGCAGCGTTGTCGGTTTAGCAGAGTGCGTCTCGGTGTGGAAAGCAGCAGTGTGCGACGGGAAAATTGAGGAAATGAGTTCCACCTCGGCAATGCACTTGTTGTATCGGCACAACTGAGTGAAAAAAATCTAATATATGTGAAAAAACAGTAGCATTCAATGAGTATTGAGCGCATAGTGATCTAGGATTGTGCTCTAATTATTTGGAAGTAATTTTAAGTAGATGTTGTGAGCTGATGAGAATAGTGCAGGTGAGGATAACGCAGAACCTCAATGACACATGATCGGTAAAATTTGATGCGCACATTCGGGAATGCGGATACAAGCTAATAAAGAGCAGTTTGGTGAGAGCTTTATACTTCGCGGTGTAAAAGGGTGGGATGCTTTGGCCCGGGGCTTGTTACTTCGCAATTATTAAGTTGTATATCATCTACTCTGATCGGCTCTTCTTCGTGCCGACCAACGAAAAGTTTCTCACGGCCAGGAACTGGGGACATTGATGTAGTTGAGGAAGCTGCGACCATCTCTTACAACAGAAGCTAAATTTGCGCGCGCGCTGCCCGCACCAGTAACTCGTGCACCCACTTCGTTTCGCTCTCCCATTCACCGTATTCTAATATTTACCGCATATCAACGAAGTGAATGATAAGAAGAGACGAAACAGGGGCGCATGTAATGGATTATTCGGGTAACCGCCCCCGTACATCGCCTACTGGAACATAGAAATGATTGATTGATTGATATGTGGGGTTTAACGTCTCAAAACCACTATATAATTATGAAAGACGCCGTAGTGGAGGGCTTTGGAAATGAACATAGAAATGAGTGACAACGCGTGTGCACAGTACATATAATGTTGTTTTATTTTTAGCATATGTTATCGAGGTGCGTACTTTGTTTTACACGAAGAGCAAGCCAACTACTCTCTGTGATCGTCATCGCTGGCAAATTGTCGCTGCAGCAAAGCAATGGTGTCAGTCCGAGATGGTTAGTTTTAAATGTTGGTGATTTTCATAAAATTGTCAAACCAAAGGTGATCGCATAGCTTGCAGCTGCGGCCGAAATTCTTGTCAAGAACGCGCTTCAACCGAGCGTCGGCGCCACCTATCTGAGGTAGGAAACAGTTCGAGCTGCTTCCGCGCTCTTACCGCCACCGGGTCCACTTGCTTGCATCACCAAACTGCGGCTGCTTCAGCAGCACTGAACTGCACTTGTAGTTAAGTATCGGCTGTTCATATCGCTGTCCATATCTGGTGCGCCATTATGGATCTATGACCAACGAGAAAAACAGAGCTGCAGCGAGGGTGAGCCATTGGTTAACGCCGCGCCTCCAGTAGACTCGGATCAAACCAGCTCACGTTGGTTGGATAGGTGGGTGTATCCAGCGGTTCTCTTTAGATCGGGCGGGGGCTCCCGCCACATAGCCATAATGTAAGTGCTATCACTATATGTTGAAGGATTGGATTTCACTCGGGCCTCGATGGTAGCCACCAATCAGTTAGCCTCCTCCTGGTTATTTCTATGCGATTAAAGTCTATTTTTCCTCCACTGTACCCCCAATGTTTTGAAAACTTTCGTCCCATTATCTTGGACTACAGGGTGGAGCCCTTTACAGAACATTATCAAGTGTTCCACCGTTTTATTCTCTTCTCCACACGCACTACATAACGTGTCTGTGCCTTCCTAATTGGCTCGGTGCGTCTTGGTCCGCAATACTCCCGTTCTGGTCTCGAACAGCAGAGAACTCCCCTAAGAATTATCGGCTTCACGTACCGGCTTCGTGTAGATTGCAGTACCCCCAATGGATTCCGATGAAACTACGGCGAAAATGGATGGAGGGACATGGCTCCACCTCAAAAAACTTCGCCCCTAAAACTTATGGAAAACTGCCTGCTGTTTTGACACACCTAGACACAATGTACGAGCAAACGAGGACATTGGGAAGAAGAATGAGACGGACAAGAACGGCCGAGCAAGTTACATGGCTTTAGCTACAGTATTGAGTAGCATATAGACTGAATGTGCTTCTCACTCAATCGAATACCTCGAATCGTTTTGGAACCTCTTCACTGATAGTTGCAATCAAAGTTAAAAAAAAACAGTCGTTAAGCTCAGTTGTGTTACTTGTGTGAAGAAATCTTTACGCATCGTATGAAACCTAGATAGCGTATATTGTTAACACTGGGATCAATAAACCTTGCAAGCTATCCCAGACGCAACTGTCGTGGTTGTTTTTATTGAAGTGATAAGTCCGAATGCTTAGGTTGTACAGGCATTCAGTAATTTAGTAAGTAAAACAAAATATTCGTGTTAAATAACACCTCTGTGTTCCTCGCACGATGGGAAAAGTGTTTCGTATCTCGACATTTTAATAGGAGTATATGTGTTGATTTGCAACTAACTGTGTTGATGTGAATTGCTTTCGCAACTAAGTTGTTGGAGTTCGATGTGTGAAAAGATGATTGCGGAAGCTTTAGAGGCGGGACCTCAGGCAAACCAGTGTGGGCTCTAAAAACTGACACATGTCGGTCCTCATTGAGAAATTATACGAGCGTATTGTACCACCTTATCGGACGTTGGCAAGTGCTGGACTTTGAGCATCCGGCACCTGTTGTTCATGCATAGCTGTAAAGGAGTTTAGCTTACCGCTTCTTTTATTTCCATTCCTTAATACCCTTCTATTGGCGTAGAATAGCAAACCGAACGCGCATCCAGTTGGCTATCCGGCCATCGTTTTTTCCGCCTCCTCATTTACCATTAGGAGCTAGGCAGCGGAATATGCTTCAGGGATATATTCCAGACGCGAATGGTGTGCACAGGCCCATATAAATTTACGAGCGCTAAGATCTCGTTGTAACCTGTCCGTTGGAGCGCTGTACTGAGATTTCTTTTTTTAGGGGCAAAGCTCCTTACAGCGGCACCCGTTCGTCCCCCGTAGTATGTAACAAGTATAACATTTTGACCTCCAAGGTGGTGCCGGGGAGAGACTTCTTCTGTGCGTTGTTCAACAATAAAAAATAGTGCTCAATGTACATGTCAATGGCTGCTAATAAGGAATGAGAGACAGGAGCATTCGGCTTTTAGTTAACGCGCAGGCTGCGATCACCATTAGCAGCCATTGGCATGTACATTGAGCACTATCTGACAAGGAAGGGTTGCTACGTTATACTCGCTGGGTGTAACCTCCTTAGCTTTAGAAAGGTTTAGCGAGCGTTGCGCCGCAGTGCCATGAATACAATGAACTTGTATATACCATGAATAAACTCGAGGTGGTTAAAATGGGAAGTAGATACGAAGCGCAAGCCGTAAGAAAGTAAAAGCCGAATTCTCCGGCTCTCATTTCCCATTAGCAGCCATTGGCATGTACATTGAGCACTATCTGACTGAAAAAGTTTGCTGCGTCATACTCGCTGGGCGCAACCTCCTTGGTTTTTGAAAGGTTTAGCGAGCGTTCGGCCGCAGTGCCATGAATACAGTGAACTAGTATATACCATGAACTCGAGGTGGTTAAAGGTGGGAAGTGGACCCGAAGCGCAAGCCGTAAGAAAGTGTGCGTGTGCCACCTCTCGTTTAGTCCTTGGAATGTCCGCTAGATGGCGGTGCTTCTATATGGGGAATATATGATGAAAAGATGCGAGATGGTGGTACTTGGAGTGTTGAATAGATGGACGAACGGACACATAGACAGATGCATGGATGGACGCATGAACGGACGCAGGGGCGGATGCATGGACGAACGCAGGGACGGACGCATGAACAGACGCACGCGTGGACGGGCTGATGGACGCATGGACGGTCACATTGGCGGACGCATGGACGGACGGAAGCAAGAACGAATGGACGGACGAATTCTTTGCCCCACTCTCCATCATTCACTCCGTGGATATGGTGCCATTTTTTTTTTTTTGCATACAAAATGTGTCTTCTCGACTTTATTCAGATTAATCACTTCTTTTGGACTGCCACGACTATTGCGATGCGATGGTGGGATTTCTCGCTGTTACATTTTTTTTTTCTTTTTGCGGAATCTATATTTATTGAATTCAACAGTTGTTCTCTTATAAAAATAATCTGAAGTGTGGCCGATGACATGACCCATCCTCATGAGTAAAATTAATTTACATATTTGCCTAGGAGCCTCGCTGCGGTGGTCTAGTGGCTAAGGTACTCGGCTGCTGACCCGCAGGTCGCGGGATCGAATCCCGGCTCCGGCGGCTGCATTTTTGATGGAAGCGACAATGCTGTAGGTTCGTGTGATCAGATTTGGGTGCACGTTAAAGAACCCCAGGTGGTCAAAATTTCTGGAGCCCTCCATTACAGTGTCTCTCATAATCATATGGTGGTTTAGGGACGTTAAACCCCACATATCTGTCAATCAATATTCGCCTAGGAATAGGTTAAATGCTTGAAAATGGTTAAATGGTTTGAAAAATGATCCACAACCTACTAAATATAAACTTTTGGTTGCACGTTTATGTAGAGCCGTTGATGAAACAATAAAAGCAAGGTGTTGGTTCTTTATTTCAAAGATTATTCATCGTCGAGAAACTACTTCTTGTGATGAAGCTTAAAAACAAGCTAATATTATTGGTGACGTAGCCTGTATCGCTGTCTTCGCAGTCACGTCGCTGGAGGGCGACACCTTCAACGTGAGCCGCGCGACGCGAGACCACATGGGCTCGTACGTGTGCATCGCCTCCAACGGCGTTCCCCCACCCGCCATGAAAAAGGTCATCCTGGAGGTCACATGTGAGGCTCCTCTATCTCTCTTCACATTCAGTGCCTAGCTATATGCAAGTGTTGTTTGAAAAATAACCACGGGTTTCATCGCGATTGTGTCTTCGACGTAACTAATTGTTTTCCATGATTCCGCATTTCTATGATGATGCATTTTATGCTTAACATCTAGTGACGTATTCTGCAGGCTCAAGGAAAGAATAGAAACTGCATGGGTTCATTTTTCATTGTTGAAATTGTATTCATTGGAACGAACCCACCATAACGCCGAGGATGGTTTAGAGGAGGTTATTTATATTCATTATGACATAATTGTGGAAAAGTTGGTGGAAAGATAACTTGCCGCCTGCAGGGACAGAACCCGCTACCTTCAAATTACTCCTCCGACGCTCTACGAATTCAGCTCTGCCGGCGATGATTACCCCGTCCACGTTATTGAACCTATCCGCGCAGCTGGGAGTGTTAGCACTAATCGCCGCCATGATGGATCCGTTTGCATATACTGCACCGACGAGACACTCCCGCCCTGCTAAACCCATTTCACTGTCGCAGTTCCACCGCTTATCAAGATCCACAACTGGGCTGTGGGTGCAAGCAATGGCTCGAGCGCGGTGCTGGAGTGCTTGGTCGAGGCGTTCCCGCGGGCGTTGAACGCGTGGCTGTTCGGGGACCATGGCACAGCCGTGCAGCCTGGGGCACGGCACGCCCTACGTGAGGAAGAGGCTGGCCCTTATGCTAGCCGCATGCAGCTGCGCATCGACCCCGTGCTACCGCAGGACTTCGGCATGTACAAGTGCGACAGCCGCAATGCCCGAGGACACGCCGCCGGCGTTCTCACCGTGTTCCGTGAGTTTTACCATAAGTGTACACAACTGCGATTAAGGCGTAGCGTATATGAGACACTGGAAGTCACGCAAGAGGGTTGGTGAGCAATGCACAAATATATGGGATTTCGTGGTACGCTCTTGCGCACGAGACTGCGAATAATTCACCCGGCAAGCTGTAAATAAAGAAAAAAACACGGATGGGAGCTCCACTGCAGTGAAACCTGAGGAGGTGTGTTGCACGGAGGCCCAGCGATTCCTGTTCGCAGAGCTCGCACTGCTTCGTTCACCCAACCATCGGACTTAAATGCTTGGGATAAACATGTAAGGTTTCCCTGGAACGTGTGAAACCTTGTTAGGAAGTTCTGGAAACTTGGCGTGCGACATGCGTGCTAAATTTTACTGCGGCTATGAACTTCCTGCTTGTTACAACAATCGATATATGTGTCGTTTACTACTAGCTCCGTGGTGCAGTGAGATGCCGCGACGCAGCGCCGGTGAAGCGTATGGGCGGAGGGGCATTCGTTTGCTCGGCGAGGCGGTGGCGCTTTCCTTCAACCACACACATTCATTCCTCTCTTGAAACGACCACTGTAGTAGTCAGAAATGCTTTTCATGATGCTTAGTTGAATATTTACAATACTTTTGAGTTGCTTTCTTTATTTGTATTACTTTAAAGCTTGTTCGTTCAATTTAACCCAATTTTAAGCATTGCCAGCTTTGTTATGACCTCTATTGAGCTCATTACTGCGAGCGTAACCACGCCATGCATGAATGGATGTCAAGCGGCGACCCTGAAATGTTCTGCACTTTCAAAAAAAAAAGAATGGGGGAAAACACAATGATACCTCAAATATTTCCGGGGTTAGAGCTCCGTCGCTCCGGCAGCAACTGCATGCAGTGATGAGTCGGGCGCTGTAGCACGCGCGTCATCTATACAGGGACTATAGCAGACGGCTTATACATTTGGTGGTATTCTAACCGCACGGTTGGCGTTTAGCTGACAGGCAGCACGAAAGTCGCTTCGCTCTCGGCAGCGCGACGTTTCTGCGGGAACGTCGCGCTATCTAACCTGCACCTAAGTTTAAACACACAGTCCTTTCGCCTTCATTTAAATGGGACCGCCGCGTTCATGATTTGATCCTACAGCCTTCAGATCAGCAGTCAAGCATTAAAGTCGCTACCATCGGGGTGAGTTACGTTTTCTTATGGCCTATTTTTGTATAGTTACGATAAAGTAGGCTAATAATATTAATAACAACAATAATAATTGTTAGTGTTCAATTACCCAAAACCACTATGTGATTATGAGAAATGCTGGAGTGGTGGGTTTCGAAATTTCAACCACGTCAGGTTCTCTAACGAGTTCCTAAATCTAAGTACACGGGCCTCAAGCATTTTAGCGTCCAGCAAGAATGCAGCGGCCGCGGCCGGGATTCGATCCCGGGACCTGCGTCTGAGCGGTCGAGCCCCTTAACCACTATGGGCCATTGCAGCGGGTGAGAGGGAGGATCTTAGATGACTGAGCTGCCAGCCTTACTTGGCGATGGAAAATCCGTATGCATGGGTTGTGTCTAGCCGGCGTTCCGACAAGCGAACTTGTCTTTGCCATGGCTATAATTCTGTTCCAGCCTTGAAAAGACAAGTCCACTCGTCGAAACGTTGGCTCAACACAACTCTTGCTTACGGATTTTTCCATCGCAAGCTTTCATATTCCCCTTTCTGCTGTTTTTTGGGTTCACCCATGTGGCGGAAGTGCTATTTTTTTTTACTCAGAGTTTCACTGCCGAGCTTATTACGGTTGAGCTTTGCCGTGTGTCGTTGATTGCACATTATTATCATGATAACAGGCACGCGCTGTCGTTGCTCTTCTTTCTCTTCCGCATCGCTCCCCAAAAACGTGCGCCGATTCCTCTTGCGTCGGATGCAATAACCCTAACGGCCGTGAAAACCAGTTCAGAGACAAAAAAAATATATAAAGGGAGGAAGATACCTTTCGCCAGACAAAAAAAAAGTCTTGGTGATGCGAGCTCCGAACTTGTGTACTGAACGTCCGAAGGTGACCGTCATGATCCCTCGTCTACCCAGGCAGGCTATAGTATAGTAAAGCCTGGTATAGTATTGCAGAGGAAGGGAAAAGAAGTGAAAGATATGAGGGTGTGAAGGAGGGAAAGAGGGAGGGGAGATGATAGAGCACACGTAGCGGAGAAATGAAAAAGAAATAGAGAGAAACAGGAGTCGAGGAATACTGTAAGAAAGAATAAGAGAAAGAAAGAAAGAAAGAAAGAAAGGAAGAAAGGAAGAAAGAAAGAAAGAAAGAAAGAAGGAAGGAAAGAAAGAAAGAAAGAAAGAAAGAAAGAAAGAAAGAAAGAAAGAAGGAAAGAAAGAAAGGAAGAAAGAAAGAAAGAAATGGAAATAAACAAGGACAAAAAGTCACAGCTTTGCCGCAAAGGCGAGCAATGAACGTGATCGCAACAAATTGAAATGTCATGCGCAGAATGGAAAGCAGATCGAACGGGCCCCGCTTTTCTCATGCACAAATGACGCACGAAACGTACTCACAGGTACGGATGCAAGCGAATAGGCATCTCATTTGTTACTTCGCAGTATCTGAAAAGCGCGCGTTTTTCGCAAACGGAGACGCAATGATTGTAGTGACCTTGGTGTGCCCGGTAACTACAGCAGAACCGTTCCAGATAAAACCCGAGGCCAGCGAAGACGCACGATCCTTTCCTCCTCGCCACTACTAGATAAAGGCGCACGAGGGAGCGTCGCTCCTCTTCTCTAGGCTGGGCAAAGTATGCGTAGGAGATTAGAGCGGGTGCCGCCGCGCGATGTGGCAACGTGCGCTCATTGCGCCATCTTGCTCGTAATGCTCAAAACACAATTCCTCCCCGAGATGCTCGTGTGCAGCGGTGTTAGATATAAATAGCTTGCCGTTTAAGCAAGGAAGAACATGCTTTGGGGTGGCTCAGTGGTTAACGCCTCGCTTTCTCGGCGGAGAGGTCCCACGTTTCATTCTGCGCGTCGGAGCGTTTTTCTGGTTTTATTTTTTTTCTTGCATTTTCATATATATTGACACGTATACATATAGGGTTAATGACGGTGACGCCGACGCCGGCGGCAAAATCCAGCCGGGAGTGACCATATAATTGCTATAACAATAAAAATAAATTGATTTATTTATGGGGTTTAACGTTCCTAAAGCACTATATGAATACGAGAGACGCCATAGTGGAGGACTCCGGAAATTTCATCCCCAGGTTCTTTAACGTGCACCCAAATCTGAGCCCACGGGCCTACAGCATTTTCAGACAAAAAAATAAAGAAGTCTACACTATAGCAATGTCAACACAGCGAAGCCGGTTGATCTACGGGGGCCTAACCATTGGTCTAACGTGGCCTTCTTTGCTGATGCTAGGTCATTCCTCGGCGTAGGAAGAGTACAGTCGAAGCGCAGCCTGTAACAGACATCGCAGGAATGTCCAAACTCCAGTGCGAGTAACTATCGTTACTGACTCCCTGTGACTCCCTGTGACTCCCTGTGACTCCCTGTGACTCCCTGTGAGGCCCTTTTGTCGCTCGTACTCGGCTCGCGCCACGCCGGGCAAACTCGATGCGGCGGCTGCGCTGACTCTCTCCGTGGGCGTGGCTGGGCGGGTGCTGCTCATCGGCTAATACTCTGCTAGGCAAACGGCTCCAACAGTTTTTGCCGGTGGTGGAGGTTTTGAGCTCGAGCTTTATGAGCTTCGCTCGTGAAAATGAAGCACGCTTAGCCACGTACAATATGCTATAGCAAGCGGTCTAAAAGAAGAGGTGACAGGGTTTAAGCCTAGTGAAGCCATTACCGCGTAGGTGCCCGCCAGCTCTGCTGTTACCCAACCTCGCACGACCTAGTTAAGATGCGCATTTTTTTTATTTGGAGCACGTTGCAGTGCCTCATGGGCGAGCTCGCAGTATATAAGACTGCGCTACAAGATCGTACCAGCATTTGCGTGCATGATTACTGACCATTAAACAAGCGGAGACATACTTTTCGATAACCGCACTTCTTCCGCACCTAAGCACTCAATACTGCGCCTGTCACGCCCAGCGGCTGGTAACCGCCGGTAATGGTTCAAATAAAGTGTTGCCTATAACACGAATAAGAACATGAATACTAGTTAAGCAAAATACTGAAACCTTGCATTATCTACGAAGCCTTGCTTTGTACAACAAGGTTGGCGGTGGAAACAACAGAATTCTTCCTGGAGAAAGACGTCAGTTATCTCCTGACAAAGAAACTAAACAGTGACCCCATCGAAGCAATCTTCGGAAGAGTGCGGTCAATGTGCGGCGGGAATGACATGCTAGATGCTAGAGCTGTCAGAAGCCTGTGTATGCTAGAGCTGTCAGAAGCCTGTGTATTCTGCAGCGCGGGAATCCCAATCCCGACTGCGATTAGATCCAGCGTACTTGGACGACGAAGCGGCAACCTAGACACGGTGACGGGCGGATTCGAAATACGCAGAACACTTGCCACTTTGAATGTGTAAAAATTGCTGTTCCTTATCCATGGTGTAAGAAACAGTGGCAGTTGCTATTCTCATTGCTTGGCAGCAGCTTGGCTATATTCAACAGAGGTGGCGCCCAGCTGAGACGGTAGTTATGGCAATGGTGCAGGAAGGTCTCCAAGTGCAAAGTTCTTAAAGCTCGAGGTGAAACGTCAGGTGTCCACGAAAAACCCTCCGCGCCGTTGGTTATCACGCGCCGTTGCGTATCAGCCGCGCTCACCGACGGACAAAGTCCGGGCAGCCGCAGCGCCGACTTTGCCCGCCGCGCGAGCCGAGTACGGGGGACGAAATGCCCACGGTGGTACCGGGGTGCCACATCCAGCTTTGCACGTGCGTTCTGGCGCTGAAGTTTGGACATTTTTGCGTGGTCTTTGACGACCTGTGGTTCGACTCTATTTAGTCTACGCCAAGGAAATACTCAGCATCAGCCACAAAAAGCGAAGCCATGAAGCGTGGAAACTTGGGCAAGTTGGTAGGACATAACTCAATGTAGGAACAGCGCAACCTAGAATTAGTTACTTCGTAACTACGGAAGCGAAGAAACAAGGACAGAAAAAAGCTTCCAAGAAAAGCTTTTTTTTGTTGAAAGTCAGTGCTCTTTTCTGTCTTTGTTTTTTCGCTTCCGTAGTTACGAAGAAAATACTTTTAGGTTGCGCTGTTCCTACATTCAGTTCCGACGTTAAGCCCCTATGATCAACCGGCCTTGTTTCTTAAACGTTACACGGCTATTATAAACTTCTCTCTTTTTTTATTAATGGACGTCTTGCTGCCAGCTTTAACGGCTTCGCTGTGAGAAGAGGTACGTTAACTCGCCAAGTAGTCCCCTATATATTCGACTGAGAACAGGCAAAAAACTCGGATCTCTCGCACGGTGGCTCGCTATGTCTTGCAAGAAGTTTGCACCCCTGTTCATGCTGCAGGATCTTTTTTTTTTCGTATTTCTTTTTTTTTGCATAAGTGCCTCTGCAAATTTCCGGGTAAAATCGTTGAAAGAAACGTAAGTGGCAAAACTGTTTGTGTTTGTTTGCAGAAGTGGATCCGTCAAAGATGCCGCCAGCGTCTGAGGAAACAAGCTACACTCTCTACGGACACGGTGAGCGTCTTCTTCACTCGTGAAGCCTTTGGTAGCTGCTAGGCAAATTTTTTTCAGTGGATCCTAGATTGTATGATAGTTGACAAGACTAATCGTTCGTCGCAGAACTTGGGCGAAAAAAAGAAACAAGCCATGTTTGCTAATATAGCTCTTATAAATAATACGTCTGTTTACGAATTTGTAAGCGGGCTTTCACGCAGCACTAATGTTTAAGTGAAAAAGCCCACTGTGAGAAAAGCAACGCGTTGGCCGCTTACTGAAAAAATAAGTGAAGAATAAATTAATCTGGAGTAAAACAGCCTTTCCGCAATCCCATGATGACTGCACTCAAAACCACTTTCGGATAGTGAAGTGAGCAGATGAATAAAAAATTGAGGTTAGCGTGAATTGAAAAGTTGGTTATTACTGTTGTTTCAACCATCTCTGCCGATAATCTCTGCTGACTTCTCTGCTGAAGTCTATGGCCACTGGCCTTTCAGTAAGTGACAAAATTATCCTTCCCAAAAACACACTTCTAAATTTGAAAGTATTCGCATGCAAGGGCGAAAACAGCGCGTACGGTACGAAAACCAACACACAAGGAAAGATACAGACACGCAGCGCTGGTGTCTGTATCTTTCCTTCTGTCAGTCCATTCTCTTCAATACGGGCTGCTTTCGCCTCGGTATGCACAACCAACTACCTCGAAATGCGTTGTTTGCATGCAGACTCATAGAGTAAGCCGTCCGTCAATAAGGTCACCACGAATAAGCAAACGTATCAAACATAACAAGTTTTCGATGCACGATGCCGGGGTTGAATCCAGGCGTGCTCTTTCCGAAGACGAGTGTCTTGACCAGTGGGCTACGATTGCATCCACGCTTTCAATTAAGAATATGTTCAAAACATACGAATGCGTTGTAGAGGTTGTACCTCATAAATTCAAAAAAAAAAAGAAGCGTAGTAAAGTAACGTGTGGGGTCGGGTTAGCATATAGGTGTTCCATATTTGAAACTGCTCAGCCCGAAAGTCTGACATCTCGTTGCTCGGAAAGTCATTGCCGGCCCCTGTTCGAGAAAACGCGAGTTCTTGCCCTCCACGCTAATGATGACACCTGGATCATCATTGCGGTCGCAACAATGGCTGAACAAGGTTGTTCAATATTTTTATCTGACAAAAAACTATTTAGTTGATTTGATCAGCACTACGTTATGTAGGGTAGTTACTGTTCTGCAATTTCATTCTTTATATTTCTTGCGGAGGTGTGGAGGTAAGAGAATTGTAGCATAAACGTGTGCTTTTTATTCTTTGTTTGGGCTATATATTTGTTTGTTGAAAGCATTGGCCTGCAAATGAACTGCGTCTCACATATTACTTAGAGTCACTCAATAGGTACTTTTTTTTTTTCTCAGCGCTCACTTGGGCTCTGACTCACCAAAATTTTCCTCAACTGGGCTCACTTGGCTGATTCACTGAACGTTTTGTCATCCTGACTCTTTGTACTTAAACTCACGGGCATATTACTCAACCATACTCACTTCGACTCAGACTCACGGCTTCACTTGAGTCGGTGTGAGACTGAGTGTTTGAACTGATTAGTCCGTCAGCGGGAGTATCTAGTTTCGATCAACTGGTGCTTTACAATACGGCTTTTCATCGTGCACTTTCAATATCTATCAGTAGTTATTCAAGACACTTTTCAATGAACCAGGCAACTGACCCGAGATATCTTAAGAAATTTCTGTGAAAGTTGGGGGAAAAAGTCAGAGCACCCCCCAACCTCCTTGTCATTTACCTCATGCCAATTATCAATACTCAATGTTCACACGGGTGTTATTTTGATGTGCTTGGAGTTTGAACCCACAAGAAGTGTCAGCAATGCTCGATGGAGATTGCGCCTCAGAGTTCGATAAGCTTCACGGTTATAGTACATCGTTTTGTTAAGTTTGCGCACAGGACGCGAAGTCAAGCCTATTTCAAGAGCTTCAGCGAACACCAGCGATAAGTTTGGGAAGTTCGATGTGTGATATATAAAAGGCAGCGCGACCCAGCGTTGATTAGTTCTTTGCTATCGTGGTAAAGTGTGTATGCTGTCCGTTTCCCGGCCATAACTTTCCTTATCCCAGCCATAAGTTCGGCCGAATATAAACGTTCATCTTCTACTACGCCGACTGCTGCCTTTGTCAACGTCACGACCACGTGACAACATTGAAGTGGCGCACAAACGATACTGCTTTGATAGACTTGAGTAAAGACGTAAGCCTAAATAAAGCTGATAGTAATGATGGACATAAATAAATACAAACTTGTAATCAATTAATAAAAGTTAAAAGCCCACGCTTGTTCCTGTTGTTCCTGTGTTTCTTTGTTTTTGCATTGAACAGTTTTAGTGCGGAAGGCGAATATTTTTTTTGTTTTTGAACACGTATTTTAATTTTGCGGTAGTGAGAGATTTTGCGGTAGTGAGACATTCGCAGAAGAAAATGTAGACCCGACGTTAAGAATTGTACACCTGAGGAATGTTCTGACTTTTCTCATGTGCAAGCTTCTAAACACTTGCTACAGTGGCCACCTTACATGAAGCCATTCTAGAATGTGACAAACGCTACGAATATGACCAAACATGTCATACTAAAGCTGCCGGAAAACTACTTTATGTAGAGAAACAATCTGAAATGAAACTCGACGCTTACGCACCACTCGGATAACTCTCAAAGGAGATACTGCTGCTGGACTTCATTGTGCGCAAGTTCTACCAGATGGGTTCCGCTTGCTTACAATTTGCACTCTGCATTTCCCAGCACCGCCTCCTCGCGTTGTTGAGGCCGAGTGCCCGGTGTGCCCTGACTGCCCGTCGACGCATGAGTGCTCCCCCAGCAGAAAAAGTAAGTTGCATTCGAATGTATTAGTAGCCGCATTCAGGCAGCGCCACCTTTTAGCAGTGCCTGCGTTGTTTTTATCCTTGCTTCGCAGTCCATATTTTCGAAAATTGATTTTCGAATGTTCACATGGTCATGTAATCAACCACTTAGCCTTACGTTTTTTTCCTAGACTCCTTTCAGTCTACGTTATTACTGTGCAGTGCACCTGACACAGCACATGAAAAGACACAAAAAATACAATTGGCACCAAGTACGTGCGCGTGCTACGTGCATGTGAGTGCGTGTGTGTTATTGTTTTCTTTTGGCATTTGAATCCCAGAGTATGCTGCCAGTATGTTATATTTCTACGATGCAGTTGTCCTTCCCGCTAAAACCGTGTGTAAAGCCACATGTACTGTGATTCCTCAACCACACTTCCTCAGGTGAACACGATTGTGTTTGTGTTTCCGTCCGTCCCATAATGACCTGTGTCAGTTCGCGACACTAATCATATACAATATGCGATGCCAACAATTTTACCGTGCCCCATTGTTCAATTCATATACTTGCCTTCTATTACGATCATCACTGGGTTTAAAAACATGAACACAGTGTGACAATACAAGCACACCAGCTTGTACATAGGGAACTCACGTGTGAATCGCACGTGCATAGCCAACTGACCATTCCAATGCCGTATTTGTTGTGTACTTGTGTACCCAACAGAAATTAGTGACGTAAAATCTAGATTTTCGTGAGAGATTCTAGCTGCTCCATCATGAAAGTTCAGCAAGTATGAAAAGCCAGAAGAATTGCTTTTGCTGCTGCCTCATAACGGCCCGAGAAATGCTAGACGCCACATTAAGCAATGACCAGTCAATAGCAACAACATCAAAGCAGTCGTTTACACTACGAAAACATGTGATAATGCTGAAGAGTGGGGGCACTGTGACTCCATGTCGTTGGCGACCATGCTGACAAGAAGCGAGGAATAGTATGGAAAGGTGGGCTAGTTGGTAATTCATGATTGTTCTGCGAACTGGGTGCGCGAGAGGAACACAGACACGAAGCAAAGAGGAGGCACACAGCATGAGCGCCTTGCGCTGTGTGCCTCCTCTTTGCTTCGTGTCTGTGTTCCTCTCGCGCTCCCAGTTCGGTGAACAATCATGAAGAGAGAGGGTAATATCCGAGGTTATTTTTTGTGACGAAGCTCTGTCGTACCAAATTTTTCCGGTGCACAAGAATCTAATGTTTTATAAGAGCCTTGAATTAACATTCATTCGCATTTATTAGCCTTACTCGCGAACACTTGTGCCTAATTCTTGACGCGAGTTCATGAGGACATCATGCCTTTATGTGGACTTTTTTTATTACGATTATTTCTAACATTTTACAGCAGGGAAGCCTGGACTCTTCAATGTTGAGAGCATAGAAACTGTCTACAACACATCCCACTGGCTTCCATTGAAACCTCGTGACACAGGTGACCGCGTACATTTCTTACGTTTCCTTAAAGTTTATTGAAAAATTGCTGTCACTGCAATGGCAGTTCTAGCACAGTCATTTGGCTTTTGTGTATGTGTTGTTACTGAATAGTTATTAATAGTACATACATGTAGCGCATACTCAGTTTTATGCAACTTATTTTAAGCAAAAATTAGCATGATACCATTCTAAAGTTAAGTAACATGAATAATTACCGGGAATAACAAATTCTAGTCAGGGAAATCTTGCATACCTGTAGCTAACAAAATATTTAATAGGCGGAAAGTTAGTGCAACAGCAAGTGTATAATTACCTCTTTACATTTCTTTACCTGCAAAATTTATTCTTCCGTGAAAAAATTTATGGCTTTAACTATGCCTGAGGAGAACTCGACATGAAATTTTCCGCTCTGTTTCTCTTATTTCTTTTTCCGGTGTCGTTACGATGGGCGTAGAGTGTCGGACAAAGCGCCGCTACCTGGTCAAGGTGGGCAAGCCGGTGCTCTTCAGGCACAACAACGCCTCGTGGGGTGCGTGGATGCGAGACTCGTTTAAGCGCGCCTTCGACGCAAGCAAGTTCTGGGTGACGCTGGACGGCGACCGCACCACGCTGTTGGAGTACGTGGACGGCCACTTCACGCGCCGCTACTCTCTGCCGTACGCGTTCCGCGGCAACACTCAGGTGGTGTACAACAACTCGCTCTTCTACCACCACGAGAACACGGACAGCATCGTGCGCTTCGACCTGGGCAACAAGTCGACCGCGGCGCTGTCGCTGGCTCGCGACTTCTCCAGCGGTCGGCTGCTCTACGCGACGCAGCACAACGCGATGGACATTCTGGCCGACGAAAACGGCCTCTGGGTCATCTACGCCAGCAGCAGCACCAACAACACGCTCGTCGTCAAGTTCCACGAGCGCGCCATGCAAGCCGAGCGCGTGTGGAACCTCACGCTCGACCACCGCACCGTGGGCGAGATGTTCATTGTGTGCGGCGTCCTGTACGCCGTGAACAGCGTCAGCGAGGTGACCACGCGCATCGCGTTCGCCTTCGACCTCTACGAAGAGCGAGCGCTCGAGATGGCGCTTAACTTCAGCAACCCGTTCCGCAACACTTCCATGGTGAGCTACAACCCGAGTGATGGCGCCATCTACACGTGGGACATGGGCCACCAGCTGCTCTATCCGCTGCTCTTCTCCAACTCCACGTCGTCGCACACCGCCAGTTGAGTGGTCGTGGCCACCGCTGTCCTGTTGCTGCTGCTTGCCTTTGCCGCCGTCGTTCGCCTCTGACCGCGGCTTCTCTGGACTCGCTGCCTCACGGACGCTTTGCAGAGCGTTTCGTCATCCCGTGCTGGTGAGAGCCGCCAACAAAGCGGTTTGCGCTGTGGCGTAGTGTGCACCAGTGTACTGTTACACTTCGCCACGAAGGTGATCTGCGGCGTGTTCTCTACGCAATGCACTCATTGGTCAATGTCACTGTTACCTGGTCTCGATTCATAACTACTCGTACTCTCCCTTCTCTTCACTGCAGTAGCCACTGTGATGGAAACTCTGTGCTATGGTGAAACTCCGTGCTATGGTGACCAAGAGAAACGCCTTGCGTCGCTAGAAAACAGCGTTGTGCCTCGCATTTCGCACAGTTTGTTTTTTTCATTACTATGCGTTATGCTAACTGACGAAACAATCGTTTCCAAACTAGAGTCTCTAAGTGGTGGTGGCATAGGGGTGCGCGCGGCCACGCATGTTGCATCCACACTGCAGCATCATCCAAAACTTTAATGAGTTTCATGCGGTGTGTGCGACAAACAAAAAGCGATGTTCCTGTTTGCGAACTTCTAGAAAAAGTGATAGCGAATTGGTATTGCTTTGTTTGCATTCTTCCTGTGCAACATAACAATGTTACCGGCAACCAGTGAATCCTGTCGTTTAGGCGCTAGTTTCGCGTGCGATGTTATAAACACTATTTCTTTTGATAACACTTCAAACATGGCCAAATGGATAGAAAAACTTTCAGTGGAAAGGTTGAATAGGACTTCGGGCGAGGAAACGGACTTCATATGAAGAGTTAGTGACTTCTCATTTTTATATGTAACAGCTAAATAACACGACAACACGCTGTTTTAACATGCTGAGGTCTGTGAGAGATAACTAAGCACGGTATATTTTTTAATCCATCTTCCGCTGGGTAGATAGCATAGGCACGCAGTTCCTAAATCTTATAGAAGAATAAGCCACTGCATCAGTCCAGTTGGTATGACTTCATCTTGGTACAAAGTGCAGCAACTATTATATGAAACACACAACGCAAGCGGACCTGCTGGTGTTGTGTGTTCTATTTAATAGTTGCTGCGATTACTACCAAGATGAATATAGAAGAAATCAGTCACTTTGCCGATGCTCATCACTTTCTGTGATGGCATTCGCTATTTTGGTTCAGCGGGTTCACGTTCTGCCACATTTGATCATACTTTATCACCTCTAAGATCCAAGCACACAGGGCACCGTCTTTTATGCTGTCTACATCAGAAGTTCACCACTAAGATAGTCTAAAACATCAACAAAGGGAACAAAATTTTCAAAGGACGCACACTATAGCCTAAAGCATCAACAAAGGGAACAAAATTTTCAAAGGTCATAGACTAGCCCATTGAAGATTTAACAGCACGAAAAAAACACACGGTGGACAGGAAAAAGACAGGACAAGCGCTGACTTCTAACTGCAAATTCAATGACAAGAAGGCTGTTAATACACCTGAGGGAACAGAAACGAGCCTCGTTTGTGGTACGGGCCTCATTCCCAGAAACTTCTGCCGTTCTCGCCTGCACGTAGCAAACTAGTTAAGAAAGCCATCGGACAGTCATGTTTCCAAAACGCCTTAGAGAGGTGCTGCCATCACGTTGATTGATATGTGGGGTTTAACGTCTCAAAACCACTATATGATTATGAAAGACACCGTTGTAGAGGGCTCCGGAAATTTCGACCACCTGGGGTTCTTTAACGTGCACCCAAATCTAATACTGCTGCCATCACGTTTTGGAAGCTCCTGGCACAGTCGTAGGGCCTAGACAGAGAAGGATACTCGCGCCCTTTGCTCATTTCTGTGGCGGAGGTAATGCACAGGAAAAGGAAACGTAAGGGCATCAACGGTAACAGAGAGGGCGCCACAGCGGAAAATCGGGGAAAGGTAGTGGTCATTCCGTACATGCACTCTGTGTCACACCGCCTAAAGAAAATAGGACAACAAATCAACGTGAAGGTGGTTTCTTGAAGGGCTAGTTGGTACATGTTACTGAGGAGAACAGCGCCAAAAAAAACGGGACGGAGAAAGATTGAACAATACGACACAAGGTGGTGTTCAGTGCCCCTCACAAGTTGTCCCAGTTAACAAACAGGACGTGCCCCGTAAATCGACACTGAAAGTAGTACATGGCTAGGCACAGGACGAAATTTGTCGACTGTGCGCTAGGCGTGGTGCACAGGACCCCATTGTTTTGCGGTGCATGTTACGTACGCCAGACAGGCAGATGCCTAAACGAACGCTTACTGGAACACGCCAATAACGTTGATAAGGGCAAACATGGCTTCCTGGCGCTACGCGGGAGCACGTGTAGGTGCCCTCCGCTGTTCAAAAGGCACTGTTCGCTGTTCGAAAGGTTCTCGATGAGATTAAAGAAGAGCACGAGCGTATAATCTATGAGACTGCTCAGATGGTGCTGGAAAGGATTGCATGCGTAAGCAGGCCATCAGTTACCCTGTCAGAAAGAGGGCTATGCTTTTTGGAGTGCGAGGGTCGGCGTAGGAGGCTCAGTGATTGTTGATGTTATTTCGTATCTTTGCATGTGCCATTTTTTCATTGTTTTCTGTTCACTCGGGTATTTAACGAGCCTTCTTGACAATAAAATTTTAGTCGGAAGTCATCTGTTGTCCCGTCTTTTTTTCCTGTCGGCCGTGCATTTTTTTCGCGCTGTTAAACCTTATGTATGCACCACCAACTAGCCTACTCAGCCGCTTTGTTAACTAGCCCAGTGTTCCAGAAGGTCGGAGGCGTGGTGCATTGAGTGGCAGAAGTGGTTTTTCAACTAGACTACATTTACACCCACCTCACTTCTCACACTAAACGTGTGTTTTCTGCACTCGAGCTGTTGGTACACAAGCACTGCTGGAAACTAGATGCCATAGGAAGGTTATGAAAGCGGTGGCCGCAAGCACACCGACATCAGAAAGAAGAGGACAATGACGGTCGTGGGTGGGCTCGGGGCACGCAGCAGTCGCTGGCAGCGGGTGGTTGCGGCCTGGGTTCCGGTCATTAAACATGGTCACTTTCGGTCTCCGCCTCTTACCCGCAGGGTTATCGGGCTAGCCTCAGCCTCGAACCCTTACAAGGTCGAACAAGCTGTACCGACAACTTCCTAGTAGTTTTGCGCACTGTCCCGTGTCAGCGCCCGTGTATACCTTTCCACTACAGCACCTTTCCTTCCCGGCACCCTTCCCCAATGTCACAAGCACATGCACGATACTCCAATCTCTTTTTTTTTTTACACGCGCACTGCTTGTAGCCAGGTCGAGTGCTTGCCTCTAAGGTCTCGAGATAAGACAAAATTAAAGAGATAAGCGAAAGCCATTGAAAACGGCTGATATCTAACGACCAGACTTGGTTCTTCACGTTTAATTTTTTCCCCACCCAAACACGTACGACCGGCGCCCTTGTGCTCGCGTCCGCTTCAGCGTTCAGACGGAAATCCAAAAATATCATATAAAAAGAAAAATCGGGTGAGAAATAGTCTGATCATAAACACAGAAATGCTCTAACAACGTAGATCTACTAAAGCGCACACATCTATGCTTATTCGACATTTTCTTTTTGCGGGTTTTCGTTTTCCCGTTTCAAAACGGAAGGACGTGCTCGGAATCCTTTCTTTTTCTTGGTGCTTGAACCTCGAGCACAACAGGTTTCTCGAGCGCGTGCGACTCCGGCTGGCGAGGACGCCGGTTATCGACCGCGCCCCGCGGGGTCGCAGATGCGATTGAACGGTGTGCGATACAAACGATTGGCCGCGCGCAAGACGACGCCACGCCGCGCTTGTCTCCCTCTTGAGTGAAGGTACATCGGGAAAGAAGCAGGGGGAGAAATAACGCGATTCAACTGTGAAATCCCTGCTGTGACCTCGGAGAGGCTGCGCACTACCTCCTTCACTCGTGTGCCGCCCAAGAAGAAGAAGAAAATCGAATAAGCGAATACCGAGTAGAGCAAATGCGAAAAGCCCCACAAATAACCCGAAAAAAAGCGAAACAAGATCAGGTACTGCGCCGAATGCGTAAAGAAATCACTCTAAGCGCAATACGCGTGCCACAAGACCCGGAAAATTGTTGAACCCTCTTTTCGCGCTATTTTTCGTTCTCTTTATTTTTTTTTTCAAGCATTGCTAAGTGGCTTCCACGAGAACCTGTTTTGTGAAAAGAGTCTTCCAGGCAACGCAACGACCGCTCGAAAAGCTACCGTCGGTCGCGTGCGCCGTGATAATCTGCGTCAGGCTGCGTCGAGCTTGTGTTCTTCTCCTTCCCGTATGAGAGAAGTTGGGACGCAAGGAGACCTTTTGCACAGTTGAATCAAAGCGAGCAAACGCGACCGTTTTGTACGCAGCGCAATAAAGGGACTGCTGTATTGTTTTGTTTTCATAGTCATACACTTCCTCTCTGGAACTGCGACAAGTGCAGAGAACAATTATAACCTCACGATGCAAAGCTGCCTTCATCGTCCAGCTGGTGGTCATGAACTGCGTGCGGGGCTTGCCATGGTGAAGGATAGCCGGTTCGCACTGGCGTTTCTGCCGCCATCATGATGATTTATTGACAAAAGTATGTAGATAAGTTCGCCAAGAAAACTATTCGCTGTTCAGCACCCACCAATTTATTTTGTCTGTGCGGTATTCCAAGTGTCTGACACATTTCCTTCACAACGTTATATTCGAGCTGTTCAAATATTTAACCAGTTTCAGTGGTCTATCATTAATGACGTGTTGATTGAAAGACATGAATCGAGACTGTGACGCCTGACAGCGGCCGTCCCGGTGTGACGTGTTCGGCAATAGTGTACCATGCCTTTCATACACGCCGAAGATGCAAACATGACAAATATATTGTGGAGCCTCCTGCTACAGCGTCGTTTTTACGGTGACCCGGTGAATGAGATGAATCGTAATGACTTAAAAGCGTACTGACCCGAAATCGACAAACACTCGGATTGTTGTGACACCTAAAATGAGTATTTTGGTGCTCAGAAATGCATCAAATATATTTTATTACCCCTACTTCAAAAACACTTTTGGTTTTGATTTCGAGGTAGCGGCTTCTCAGTGAAGTGCCAAAGCAGCGTGACGTAATGGGAAGACAGCAAAAGGCGACTTACTAACGGCATATCGGTCATCTCTTTGTTGTGGAAGTAAACAACGATATATGCCTTGTTGTCCAATGGCCCGGACAGCGATTATTATTTTTTTTGC